CTCTCTCCCTCCTCCTTACTCCCTCCTCGCCTTCCCCAACCCGGGCGCAGCCTCGCGTCCCGGGACATCCCGCTTCGCAGGTGCGTCTGTTCTCAGCGACTAAATTATTGTAAATATTTCCACTCGCGTGTTCCAAACGAAGGAGATGTTACATGCTGACAACACGGTCGCACTCTCTCGATCTGTATTATGACAAGGAACGTCCATTGCAAGAGCTGTGTGGTGTGCACATCTTGCACGATATTATAGTTTTCAATCCTGAATAGTGACAAACAAATTGTTATTTTGCCCTAACTGTAGGCTTAAATTTGTCACACTGCACAATAAGCTTCAACATTGCATCTCGCAAGTTGTGCACGTGCACAGACGCATCTTGGACAGAAATAGTCCCCTGCCGTTTAGAGTGCACAGTCCTGCGGGGACACGGGCCGGCACGAGACGCGGCGTGACAAATGACGCAGACGCGCGATGACACGGACGGACGCAGAGCAGTCTCTGCTGCTGCAGATCCTCCTGGCGTGCGCGCGCCTGTCCAGATCTCCAGAGATGGGGACACGGAGGAGAAGGGTAGGGCTGGCTGGCGCGCGGTGCGGGAGTAAGAGAATCGCGACTCGGCCTCGGCCTACCTAACGGACAGGCGGACGGCGGACGGTCAGAATGAGCAGTGATTCATTCTCAAGGTTGCTCCGCGGGCTGCGGGACCGGGGCGGGGACCGGGCAGGGCGTTGCTTGATATCGTTCTTCTTACACACTAAAAGCTTATGAACATTTTTATTCATGGCTTACTGAGTTCTTCGTAAGAAAAAATGAGCTCGTACGCAGAACTCAGCAAGCTAAATGTTCGTATAAGCTTGTAGTGTGTACTCGCCTAGCCTCCGACGAGTCCGCGACGAAGCGCAATTATAGGCGAGGCGTCGAGCGGGACGCAGCTACTGGAGCAATGAACCCTCCCGACGGACGGAGACGGATGCCCGCCAGCCCATCTCTTCGCTTGTCTGCCAGTCCGACGTCCGCCTGTCTCTCCGATCCGATTGTGTGGTCCTCCCCGTTTGGCTGTGCGCCTCCGACTGTATCGCGTATCGCGCGGGCAGGATGTATCCATAAAATCCCACACCTCAGCTGAAGGAGGTGTGGAACTTTTCCAG